TAGATACCAATCAACCTGAACCTCAGAGCCAAAATACAGACTTATGTGATTATTTAAATTGTAAGCAACTATACTTTTCATTGAAGGCAGGAGATAACACTTTTTATACATTAGCTTTCCCTAACCTGATGCCCTCCAGATGTGTTGAGGTTATAGTTAAGCACATCTGGGAGATGCTAGATTTTGGAAGGCTGCTCTGCGTTAGTTTTCTCATCTAAAACCTTTTCCACAAAACTGCTGCTAATCTTTGTGGTAAAAAGAACATAAACTGCACATACGTATCACTTTGTTTATGTTTGCAGTGGCCCTAACTCTGGTTGGAAGAGGGGCTAGATTTAAGCTGGGAAAACACTGAAAGGTCACCCATTCTTCCAGTACTGGCAGTATAAAAGAACTGGATCATCTCACTCTTGTGTAAAAATACTTTAGTTTAAAAAAAAGTCCCAGTCACAGATCTTATATTTTATGTCTGTTTAGGCAGTAATGTCACAGGTTTAGGTTGAGGCTGGTTTTTGTTTTTGTTCTGGCTTAAGAGGTTGGTGAACCCAGACATCAGGGTTTAGAAATTGTGGTTTATAGCTTAGAATTGTATGTGAAATACATCTGAAAGTACATCATGTTTATGTGAGTCCCTCCTGACACAGCAATTCTTAACCTCTGTAAGAGCAACAAAGCGTGTTTAGGTACTAATTTAATAAACAAATTTGAATTTTCCATGGGAAAAAATTCAGAAGTGTGATTTCAGATATTTCCTGGTGTTGGGTGATAGAACATGTCTATGTAGACAAAGGATTCTCAAAGATCTTTTTTTCACCAGAAGTTTATTGATTATTATCCAGACAGTCAGCATGATGAAATGGTTAAAGTGCTGGACTAGGAATGAAGTGACCCTGGTTTTAGTCCTCCCTTAAGCACAGAAGCCAGCTGGGGGACTTGGGCTAGTCAATCTCCCTCTGCCCAAATCAGCATTAGGCTCTGCGGCAGCCAGCTGAAAAACAAAACCCCTCATCCCATCACGCATTGATAAATTTAGCCCTAAGAACTAGGTGAGTGCAGTGCAAAACAAGTGGGCCCTGCGTCTAAAAGAGACAAAAGGCAGGAACAAGTGATTGGTATTAAATTAGCATTCATACTTGATGTGTGCGAACATTGTCGTATCCCACCAAAGCAATCCTATTTTAAAATGAGCTCATATATTCAAATTGCTATCATCAGCCTTTAAGTAGTTTGTCAGCGATTGTTATATTTTGGCTTTCGGTTCCCTTGATTTAAAAAAAAAAATATTACAGCTTTGTTCTAATTGAACAGAAAGTGCTTCCATTTGTAGGATAATTATCCTCTCAAAGTGACCACTTGGGAATACAGAAAGCTACCGTATACAAAATAAGATTTTTGCCGATTTAGTCAGTAGGTAACACGTAGCCAAATATTGCCTATTCTGACTAATGGAGTCTTCCCAAGTTCTCAGGCAGTTTTTTCCCTTTACTTTCTTCTTACTCACTGGACATATGGCAGACAGAACCAGAGACCTTCCCCTTGCAAGGCCACTATTCTGCTTCTGGGAATCTGTAACTTTTTCTTAGAACTGATGGGGTGAAATTCAACATTGAAATTCTTACACTGGGGCTTTCCATTCCATTTTTTCTCCCCTCTCCAGGACTTTGTCCAAGCTGAGAAGTTTCTTTTAACGTTCCAGAAAGAGAGGGCTTCATCTTTCTTTCAAGCATTGATACTTTCCAAAAGATATGTCAGATTTCGCTAGACGAAGGCAATTGAAGTCCAGAAACCCAACCCTGCATTCACTAACAATAGAAGCTTCAAAGACTCAACTAGATAAGTTGCTTTATTGCAGACAAGAAAGTAATATCAAAGGCACCTTATTCCACTTTACATAATGAATATGTCTGACTGGAGAATCATTGTTTTCTGCCTTGTCACCTTTAGCCCTTACAATAGATTGGGGTAATTTATGATTAAAAAAAATCTCGTCCGACTAATGGTGATAATGCTAATTCAGAATAGGATTTCAAAATTGCCAGTGTTGATTAATACCAGTCCTTTTCCGTTTTAGAAAATTGCTGCATTGAGATGTCTTATTCTGCACTATTGATTTTATTTATTTTTTATTTATGTAAATAATTTGTAGAGTCACCCAGCTCTCAAAGATGACCCTGGGCTATGTATAGGGATTGAACCCCCAAAATAATAACACAGTACATAAAATCTGTATTCAAAACAATACTATCACGCAAGGCTGGGGTCAAAAAAACCATTGCCCTTCAAATCATTAAGACAAAACAATTAGATAATGGGGCTGATTTAATCATCTCCCAGCTCAAATGTGGGTGGGAAGATTCAGGTCTTTACTGCCTTGCAAAAGACCAACAGGGTCGGGACCATCTGGCTCTCTAGGGTAATGCTGTTCTATGTGGCAGGTTCAGTGACAGAGGTTTGAGAAATACTGGATTATGCTTGTAATTTCTCTTGGCCTAATGAAATGTTTATTTAATATTTTGGTTAAAAATAAATATGGCTGCAGTCCAGAAGTCTGTTTGGACACATGGCTATTTTCCCATCATTCACATGGAGTATTTCCAACATCAGTAAAGAAAGAAAAAAGTCCTATGATCAAAGAACTATATTCTAGATAACGTTCTCACATTCTCTCAAAATGTGAAATGTCCTTCACATTTGCTACTGTTAAAGATTTGGTTCACATATAACACTAAGACGTTTGATTTGGTTTATGCTTAGCGTTATATGCAAACCAGGGCACTATTTGTTCAACGACTAGGATTTTTAAATGGCTTAGTATTGTGTACAGGTGGTCCTTGCTTAACGACCACTCGTGCAGCGACTGTTCGAACTTACAACTGTGCTGAACAAGTTGTACTTACAACCAGTCCTCAGCGCTCAGCTTGCAAATACGACATGGCAGTGTCCTGTGGTCATGGAATCACCATTTGCGACCTGCATTGCCAGCTTCCCACAGGCAAAGAGAATGGGTAAGCTGGCAGGAGGTCACAAATGGTGACCATGTGATGTCATGCTTAATGTTGCGGGATTTGCTTAATGACAGCATCTGGAAGTGGGGGAACTACTGTTGCTAAGCAGCATGGTCATGTGATGTCATGCTTTACAACTGTGTTACTTAGCTATGGAAATTCTGGTCCCATTTACCATCATTAAGTAAGGACTACTTGTATGTATCAAGTGATTATAATTAGCCTCATAGGTTGAAGTGCAGTACAAAATCTCAGTGACTTCCATAATAAGCCCCACTAAGGCTCAGTGCACAAGTTTCTACTTCCATTTTCAGTAAATCACACCTCCTAATTTCATTTGAACCTAATAGCTAATATTGCCTTATTTCTCTCAATCCATAGTTAATTACAAAACATGGGTCTAAAAGTATTTTTCAACTAATTATAATTAGGATTAACCATAGTTTAGAGTATAATATTATACTCTAGCTAATGTTATACTGTAGCTAATTTTAAAAAATTAAAAGAACATTTTTGGTTTCATCAACATTAAAACAGTGACTGTTGGAATTTTGATGTTTTTCTTTCCCAAAAAAATTAGGCTGGTAGGACATTAGCACTTTGTCTTTTGTTTGATCAAAAGAACTATATATCTTTAAGCATCCATAAATTACTTCAATTGTAATGCTAGAAGAATAGTGGTATAAATTTTATAAAAGATTTTACAAGTTGTTACATTGGCTTAAATCAGTTATTAATGTAATTTTAAATACATTTCATATGGAATTACAAGTAAAAATTCTCTTACACAAACTGAAGCTTGGATGTCCACTTGGCTTTCGGGAAAAGATTTAGTAATATTTTCTTCTCTTTCTTTCAACATAATCTATCAGTTCATCACTTTGATTCAGGCCATGCACATTCACCTTTCTGCAGTGTGACAAAATGTACATTGCTTTTTTGGGCAAACTGGCTACTTGCACTGATAAGAAACACAGTTGGTCAGCTGAACAGTAAAAAGTGCTTAAAGCTATTTAAAAATAGGTTTCAGAGTGAGTGTGCTTCAATCCTCAGATTGGGTTTATTAATATAGTTTGTTTCCCCACAACAAACATGCTGGGTGGGGAATTCTGGGAGTTGAAGTCCACACATCTTAAAGTTGTCAAGTTTGAAAAACCCTGATTTAAATAATGAAATGAAGTAAGCAATGGGATACATCAGCTTAGTAAATCATTTATCATTTGTTGGAGGCAGCTCAGCCCTGAGTTATATTTCAGGAAAGAAAGTTTCAAACAAAACTGATAAAATTTTACTATCAGTTATTTGCTTACTACAAAGGTTATGACAATTATCCAGTTTCATATTAATGCTGCTGAAATGACACCATTTTAAGGCTCTTTGACTTTACAAGGTTGTTCTTTCCTTTGGTCTTGGTTTGTTACTGGCATCAAGCTGCACTTTTTCTAATGCTGCATTCTCTGTACAAACGCAATTCTATGCAGGCTCAGAGAAAATGTATGAAAGCACCCAGAGTTCCAGGGAGTTGGGCCTTTTTTTGTTCGTTTGTTTAAATCAGTAAAGTTGTGAATTGACCAATGAAGTAGTGATCATTAGTATACTGTTTCTTCTTCCAGGAGAAAGAAGAGGCAGGAAGGAATCAACACCTTGAAATAGAATTGAGAATGTTTTTCCTGGGAAGTTTGCTTGATTTCGCTGCCTGGGGTTTTAAATGTTCATTGGGTGCATGCAATTATTTTGGAGTCATCTACCAACAATCAGAGAATGTGTTCCCAGCTGAATTTCCAATCCTGACTTCTCCTATCCAGGGAGGGAGGAAACTCATGATGCTAAACCTTCTAAGATGTCCCTAGAATTAAATGTTTTTTTAGGTATTTTTTCCAAAAGAAAAGGGTTTTATATAGTATATATGTATAGTATAAATTGTATAGAGAAAAGAGAGGAGAATCATTGGTTGGCAATGATGTTTTCTGCTTGATTTTATATATATTGCTGCAGCCCAGAAGATGGTGAAATTCATCCTGAAATCTGTAGACTATATATCCAGTTGCAGTGTTGCTTAGAAATGTACACAACAGAGATGCTGAAATCCATATGCCTTCTTGGATCGCTTCAAATTCATCGGAAAGGTATGCATTATATCAAATCCTCTAGATTTGTTTCATTCAGTTCAGTTATCATTGGCTAACTGTGAACCAGGCCCTTCCTCGTGTGCCCTTCACCCATTAATCTTCCATCAGTCTGCCCATAGATAATTGCAGAGCTTGTATAACTCAGTCCAGACATTTGTGTCCATCCCCCTGCCAGTTGAGATCTCTTGCATCTTTAGGCTGTATAAATAGGCTGATGCAGACTTGCAAAAGAATATGGACGTCAATTTGTTGCTTTCAAAAAAATTTATTCTGGCCTCAGCTCACTATGAGCTCTTTTCATGCGGTGGTTATCATACCATTGTTAAAAGCTGGTATGATAATGAAATGTTTAATTTCAAAGATGGAGGCCACCATTGATTTCTCATTACAGATTTTTAGGCATTGCATGCACAGCCTCTATTCTCTGTGTATCCAGGAAATATACTTGCCTCATGGAAATTCCTGTATGTTAATATGGATCACACCAGTAACCGACATGCCATGGTATAAATAAAGTTACCATAATAGCTAATCAGCTGGGAGTCGGAAGCAAGAGCTCAGTTAAGGGTCAATCAGTAGGATAGTAACTGGAAAAATGAGTAGATTCAGTCAGTCAGAAAGCCTTGTCTAGAACTCTAAAATCACAGTGAAGATCAGGAATTGAACAGCAGGTTGCTTTATGGCATATTGCTAGGTTAATAGTGTTAAAAGCATGGCTTTCATGCTGCTGTCTTCATTGCCATCACCCAACTCCAGCTATTGCTCGTATACCTTTAACTACTCAGAAAAATGTCTTGCTCCCAAATGTTGTTCTGGAAAAGTTGTCTCTTGTCATCAGCTGTTTCTGTACTTCTATACTTCTGTACTTCTATCCTTTTGGCTCCTGAGCCATTTGAATTCATATAGATTTGGAGACGCTCCTATGTCCAAGTTGGTCTTGGCTGCCAGGTGGCTGGACATAGATGATGGCCCTGGCAATCCCTCTCTCAAGTTTCTTGAGGTTTGGGGCATCTCCCCATTGCCAAATTAAAATGCTGTTCACTTATTCTTGCACCAACAGATAACTAAACAGGCATTTGATGTAAGCCGCCCAGAGTCCCCCATTGTGGGGAGATGGGCAGGGACAAGTCTATTAAATAAATAAATAAAATAAATAAATAGCATTTTCTGCCCACACTGCTGATCCCTAACCTGCCTCTGTGGCTTTTGTTCTGCCTCACTGTTGAACGGAGGTGTTTTGAGTTTACAAGATAAAGGAGCAGGTCAGCTTTTGATACCTAGCATGCTAGTTCGTGGTAAATTTGTCTTTCAAAACTGCACACGCTGGCTTGAAATAACATTTCTATTTCATTCCTGTTCTGCTTCCTACTGCCGTGTTGGCTTGTGGAGGGAAATAGGCTTCCCTCTCCAACTTGGCTTTTGTCAATCACTGGGGAGGGGTGGAGAGGAGAACAAAAAAATCCTTCCTTGCTGCGAAACAGTCTTCACAGCATGTTTACTCCCTGATTCTGTCTCACGCTATGCAGATATACACTCACAAAAAATGGGCAGTTCTTCCAGAGCAGCGTTTCTCAACCTCAGCAACCTTAAGATGTGTGGGCTTCAACTCACAGAATTCTCCAGCCAGCATGCTGACTAGGGAATTCTGGTGGTTGAAGTCAACATACTTAAAGTTGCTGAGGTTGAGAAACACTGCTCTAGAGGAACTTCTTTGTAACTCTCTTTTTTTTTTTTCACCATATCTACACACACAGGCCTCTGGCACTTTACTTTTACTCATGTGTTGAAAACATTAACTCTTTGTTGCCATCTACTGGTCATCTAGATCAGGGTTCCTCAACCTCAGCAACTTTAAGATGGGTGGACGTCAAGTCCCAGAATTCCCCAGCCAGCATGGCTGGCTGGGGAATGCTGGGAGTTGATGTCCACCCATCTTAAAGTTGCTGAGGTTGAGGAACCCTGATCTAGAGTTTTGTAACTAGAGCATGGTTAGATGCAAGTTGGGAGAGCTCTTTGTTTCCTCTCCAGACAAAGTGATTTCCAGAGGCGCCATAACTATAAAATATTCAGTATGTTGTAGAAAAGGGGGACTGGAACATTTATTGCCTGCTTCATCA